ATTATGTAAGAATGTTAACAGTCTGTAATATTTTTTAGGATATCACTAGCGTGGTGTAGAACAAAATTATCCATGTAGTAATACTGCTTGCAAACCAATGATGGTAAGATGATGTTATGGGGTAGGACTGGATAAGTCTAACTTCTTCCTACTCCGTTCAAGCATGTACTAGGTATAAGCAAATTGATAATGCATTTGTGGATTTGTGGGAAATTATGTGTGTTGACATATTGACTGTCGTTACATGTTTGAAAGAATAAATCAAATCAAATCAAATAAAAAGCGGGATGGGAAGCAGCAGGGCTGATGAATATAACACTGGTGGGAAGCAGCAGAGCCTTCTCTCACTCTGTCACATCTGACATTAACTTTTTCTAACTCATCATACTCTCTGGCATCGCCATTCACTCTCATGGAATCACTGGGTAGCATGGAGTTGGTACAAATCCATACACAACACAGAATGTGTAATACCTGAGACCGTACCTTGTAAAACTTCAGAAAAGTTCATGCGAAACTCCTTAGCTCTGGCTGCATGCAGAGACAACACAGAGAGAAAAGAGGAAGAGAAGCAGCGATGAGGACAGAAGCAATAAGTGTGAATCTTTTTGTAGGTGTTTGCAGTGAGAGGGACCAAAGCGTCGTACAGAATAAGGCCCCGACCAGACAGAGCAGCAGCGAGGCACACCGCTCAGTAACAGAAACTAAGTTTAGTGTACATTAAATGACTTCTGGCACACACAGCAGCGTGTGTGTTTGTGTGTGTATGGTTGTTGGACAAATGTTTGCGAGATTCCATCGCTGTGACAACATTCACTCTTGTGAACCAAAAACTAGGCCTGCAACTGTCACAACACAATATTAAACGTTTTGCTGCTGCCGTCCTGTAAACATTCAACCTGACGTGAAGACTGCTGAACTTCAACATCTGTCAAAGCAACTATTTAATGTTCTCGTGTAAAATCATTTTACACTTATTAAACCAATCTTCTTTCTTACCGATGACGCTGTCGTAGTCCACGATGTCAAAGTAGATGACGGCCACAGAGCTCCAGACTCCCAGCAGAGCCAGCACCACAAACCAGGTGAACACGGAGTACTTGTGACCTCCTGGTGCATCTCCTGCCCCTCCATCTGTCCTCCTTCCATTCTTGCTGTCCGCTGGTGGAGTCTTGGCCTCTGAGGACATCAGACACAGGGAAACGGTGTTAAAGAGAGTCCCAGGCTGGTTCAGCTAGGTTAGACTTAAAAAGACATTTGTAAAGGGCTTGTAGTGAGGACACAAGTGCAAATGCAAAACAGGAAGCAGCCGAACAGTCTGTCAGCTTTAATAGTGAGCTTGACTTCAAACCGGTCGGTACAGCATGAATCCAAAATCATAAAACAGGGTGTAATCCAACAATCAAAAGTCCTTTTACAACAAGTGAGGTCATGAAAAAAACTCTATGAAAAACAAATTAGTTGAACCGAAACTGCTCATTCACAACATGTAGAAAACCAGCATGAAGGTTCCGCAGAGTCAGACATTACATGAAGCAGCTCTCCTATCAGTGGGCTCATCACAGCAAAAATAAAAGCCTCACATTTCGATGATCCCTGGGAGCAATCTGAAGAAAGTCTGGAGTTTGTCTGCCGACATGAGGATGCCATTAAAACCTCCTCAGTGGATTTCAACACGCAGTTTGGAGAAATCCAATGACTCTTGTCGGTCTTGTATCATCTGCAAAATCTGTCTGTTCAGAATCATGTCGGGAAATTGATCTGAACTCATTTACTACCACGCTTCTGCTTTATCAACCAAATTCAGGCTATTTTACATTAAATGATTGAGAAAGATACTTTTAAAGGAGCACAGGAACTTTGGATGTAGTCTAAAACTGACATTAGAGGCCCAGAGAGAACAAACTGGACAGGGCAGGTTGACCCGGGAATAGAGACAGAGTCAACACGGCCCTGACAGAAGGAGACAGGAGTCGATGACAGCTGTTCGTCCACCAGTATTTATAACTGTCTGTAGCTAATGACACAGCTGTTGGCCTTTGTATCACAACATGTTTAACGGCCTTAAAGTTCAAGACAGAAACCAGAAATAGCATTGTCCTTAATTAGACTGGTCTACAGCATGTCAGGTGTCTCTAAAAGCAATGAAGCCTGTGAAAGGTTTCTTTATACTTCACTTTCTACATCCACGATCCAGCAGCTGGTGTCAAAGACACCCTCAGCACTTTCAGAGGCTGTTACATGACTGATAACAATGTGTGCTGTTATTTAGTGTTAATGCAGGACACTGCATATCAGAGAGGGAGGAATTACTTTAGACGTACATTAGGTGGATTCAAAGGTGAAAGTCCCATTTTCTTACAGTGTTGGCTGGCTCACAGCTGGAGCTCTTCAGGATTTGAGACATGAAACTCTGCTGGTTAAAACCTGTTCTACACTGTGCTATTTTAAGTGCATTTCCCACTGAACTGAATGGGACAGTGTCTCCAAGCTTTTGACTGGTTGTGTATATTAAGGTACAAAACTCCGAAAAATGGCCATCACTGGATTAATGAGCCCTCCTCCGTATGCAGACACCCACTAACCATGCCAAAACAAACCAAGCTCATTAACCGTTCATACCTGTCTCAGAGACAGCATCCTCCTCCATCATCGGGACCTCCTCCTCACTAACACCTCCTAACCAAGACAACCCAGTCCAGATAAGACCCAAGCCCAAACTGAACCAAACCAGGCCAAACCTTAATCACCATATCAGCCCTACCTCCATCCTGGGCCGCAGGCTGCACTCCCTCCTCTTCAGACACCTCCTCCTCGGTGTGGACCTCCTTTACAGGAGCTGAGAAGAGGGAGGAGGAGATGCCATAGTGGCGGTAGCACTGCATGGGCTGCTGAAGGTCTCCAATGGACCCAAAGACAGGACTAAACAAGGCCAGAACCAGGCCAGGGAAGGGGGCAATTCAGACCAAACCTTTCCACCAGACACACACACACAGAGGGCTGTAAAGCATCCACACTATGCTCTCCTGTTCTTGATTTATTTTGTGGATGCTTGACAGCATCCACACTATGCTC